GCTACCGGGAACAGAATGTCACTTTAAAAGAAGGTTTGGTCTATTTCTGAAGTCTATGATAATATGAAGCATGATCAATGTTATAAATTTTTACCTGGGACAAATAGTCCGACTAGGTAAGTTCAACTTCGACCAAGAGGCAGCGTTCGGGAGATTACAACACATCCACATCTTCAGGCATACCTCAGAACTAGATTGTACAACCAGTGATGACCTATGAATCTGAGACCTGGTCCGTCACTGCTGGCCGTATGAGGAAGCTCGAAGTTGCTCAGCGAGCTATGAAGAGGGTTATGCTCAGGGTTTTTCCGCTCGATAAACTTAGGAATGAGGATATACGCAGAAAAACCAGAGTGACCGACATCGCCCAACTGATTAGTAAGCTAAAGTGGCAATGGACCGGCCATATATCTCGAAGAACTGATAACCGAATGGGAAGAAAGGTTCTCGAGTGGCAGCCTCGTACCAGCAGGTTTAGTGTAGGACATCCCCCCACTAGATGGAGTGACGACCTGGTAAGACATGCAGGAAGTTGATGGATGCAGGTGGCTCAGGACCGTGGTTTGTGGCATTCCTTGTGGGAGGCCTACGTTAAGCAAGGTACTTGTGAAGGGCTTTAATGATGATGAATGATAATGACTTTATACTAAATATGATACATAAATATAATGGACGTTACGTGTAGATGCCATCTAACTATAGAGTCTATTATATTCGTTTAGGCATAGGTAGGGTATAGAATTTTTATCGATATATTTTGTCACACTGTCTTATCCCTATTATTAGTTCCGTGGACGTCCACTTCTGCTGTCAGTGCCAAAATGGCACACCAAAAATCAAATCACCTCATCATGTCACGGTGTATAGCCAGTACAGCGTACTTGTATATATAGAGGTCAGTGCTTCACCGTCGAGCATATAAAGCCAACGCTTTAAGTTACAGTCAGTAAATTCCATAGCGGCATTATGTTATAAATATTATAACTATAAACTTTTATTTAAATTTACGCTTGGTGAACCTCCAGCTTAATTTTTGTGATTTAGATAATTACTTGTACTAGTTTCAAAAACTAGTACATGTGTATCAAAATCACAAAAACAGATAATATTGTTAATTATAATAGTATATTATACAGTAGGTACATTTATAGCTATTATTTGTACTGGTGGCTATGTAGCCTTGCACTCTTAAGCGAGTGTAGGGCGAGCCCACGCTACATGAAGTGATGACCTGGTCAGGCATCCAAGTTAATGGATGCATATGTCTCAGGATCAGGACTGTGTTTTGGTATTTGCATATCCTGTGTGGTGGCGGCATCATAAAATCCATTACCCCATTTCTTTCCGTATGTGTTGTAAGAGGCGAGCCAAAAGATCTTGTGGCCTCCGATTTTTTTATAAAACTATAGTGAAAACATTTCAGTCTAAACTTCATTTGAACATATATTATTACGTGTCTCGCTCCTTTAACACTGTTCCCCGTCGCTGGTTTAGATATTTACTTGACGTCGTCGTTTCGTACGTAGTAGAGCCACGCTGCATCTACACTGGTTGTAGCACGAAAAGGTCGGCTCGACCAGACAAGGACCACGCTCTCACAGAATACCAGCGTAAAGTAGCTTAATACTGCTGTGTTTCCTATGGTAAGTGTAGAGACCCGAAGACGCTTTTGTACTGAAAACGAAGCATTCCATCTTAATCCTCGATGGTGACAACGCATCTGCTTTTTGATTCTTAATCGAGGATAAATGTAGATTTCTATGGGCCACAGCATCCACCTATCGTCAGGTGTACTGTTTTATCAACCGTATTCTATAAAAAAACGTCACCACTAAATGAAAATACAGATTGTTCGTCTATTTTACCATTACTTACGTGAAAATATTTCATCACTATTATTATCGCCAGTCCGCAAAAGTATATTGCTAGATTTTTGTGATTTGGAAATACACTTGCACTTGTTTCACAATATTTATTTTAAATATATTATTTATAACATAACATAACATAAACACTCACGCCTGTCACCCAGAGGGGTAGGCAGAGACTACGGACTTCCATTTGGAATGATCCTGACATACCTCTTTCGCCTCCTTTACATCCATATATCTACGCATACATGCTCGTCGGTTGAGGGTACTTCTAACGTGGCCCCTTTTCAAAATATCGCCAATTTGGTCGATAAACTTTTTTCTAGGTCGTCCCTTCCCAACTCTGCCGTTCACATCTGCCGTATAAATTTGCTTTGTCACTCTTTCCTCATTCATTCTTTCGACATGACCAAACCACCGAAGCATTCCTTTCTTAATCCTGGTCACAACATCATCTTGCATACCACATTTATCTAATTTATATTATTTTACAAATTATGAAAACCGGCATCATCAGATATATAAGAACCGTTACTGTTATTAAAGTCTATTAAAGTCTATTAAAGCCAATTAAAGTCCACCGCTGAACATTAACCTACCCCATAGATGACCTCATAGGGGGGATATTTTACACAGTTGTCACGTTTGGAAAGTGAGTTGACAACCGCAGTTTTTAGTCGCTATTAGGAAGATGCAGCTGCCCGTTTGCTGTTTTTTTTCCTCTGTCGCCTCTAATGACAGCCACGGATTCATATGGAGTAGTGTATATTCATTCTTAGACTCGCCATTACTCAGGAATATATAAGAACAACGAACATACAACTATCATTGTATATAATAATAATAAGTGTATATCCATAAATACAAGTACACATATTCAAGTGATGTCCAAATTACAAAAACGAAAATGAAATTTCACCAAGTGACAACCATTACAAGTCATCATCATCTCATCATCATCATTACAGCCCTTCACAAGTCCACTGCTGAACATAGGCCTCCCCCAAGGTATGCCACAAAGCACGGTCCTAAGCCACCTGCATCCATCGACTTCCTGCATGTCATACCAGGTCGTCACTCTTGTCACTTCGCCTACCGGTACGAGGCTGCACCGAACCTTTTTTCCCCAATGATTGTCGGTTCTTCGAGCTTTATGGCCAGCCCATTGCCACTTCAGCTTACTAATCCGTTGGGCTATGTCGGTCACTCCGGTTCTACTGCGGATATCCTCATTTCCAAGTTTATCACGCAGAGAAACCCCGAGCACAGCCCTCTCCTTAGCTTGCTGAGAGACTTTGTGCGTCTTATACTTACTTCTACAAGTACAAATTATAAATTTTTTACTACTAGATATAGGCCCCTCCAAATGTTTGGAGGATTTGTAACAGGCGGTTTTCTCATAGCGTAAAAGAAATAATTATAGCGCCATCTATCGAAAGCCACAAGATCATTTTGGCGTATCCCATAGTCCCCTCTTACGATTCCCGCAGGACGAAGGGAATTATTGATTTTCATACACCATTACCACCACCACCACCATCACCATTGGACTGTAAAATATTGATAAATAATTAGTATAAAATGTTCTCTGAAAATCTTAAATAAAACAACATTATAAAAAGAAGCTTTATTTGTCATTACACTTTGTGTCCTTTCCAATGAAATCTAAACTCTTATTTTAAAGTTATTGAACTTTAATTACATTATTTACAAATAAGGCGAATGATATAAATCATTTATATATTTACAATTTAATTGAATATGCAAATTTATAATCAATGGAAAATGAAATTTAAACAATATTTACAATAAAAAAGTTGTTTAAGGTTTGAAAACATATTAACAATAAAAGCAATACAAATTACGAAGTATATTAGGGATTTTGTTTTCGAACACATTGTATTTCGAACACAGGTATTAAAATATTTAGACAAAAACGTATAATTATTTTAAGTAATCTAAAATTTTTAATCATTATTATATTGATTTTAGAAGCATTAATATCACAAAAACATGGCCGACGCCTTAGTAGATGAACATATTAAATACATTTTATGTAGAATTAGCGATAAATTACTATTTTGAACTCTCGTAAAGATTTTATAATACAAACATTTAATATGTTATTAAAATTATTTATATTTATTTTTTAAATATTTTCTTCTTTGTATGACCTAGAAGTTCTGTGCGGTTGTCTATTTATGATATGTGGTATGAAAAGCATTATTAAGAATTGCAAAAGATCTTTAAAAAATGCGTACTTAAATTCTATAAATAGAACATATATGCATAAAACCACATTATATTAAGCTAATAATTTAAAACGACAATACACTAGAAAGAAGTGCAACTTTATAAAATTAGCATAGAAAACATTCAATATTATGTTATATAATTAGTAATCTGTTATACCTATTTGTGGAAGATACAATCAAAGAATATTTAATATCAAAATACGGCAATGATGCACAATGTAATACACCTAGTATAAAAAAAACTTAAATATTATTTTATTTCAACGCGTCCGGAAAAAATCTATAATACAGTATAAAGATTTTTTTAATTATGAATTTTTTCACTCAAAATATACACATAAACAAAAATGTTTACCTACAATCTTAAAAGCTACAATAAAAATAAGCTGTTGATGCGTTTAGGCAAACAATTTATAATATTATACAACCTTAAAGCTATCCGGCTTAGTTCCAATTTAGAATTAAGAGACGATTTTTTTGTATTTAATTTCTTTTTTCATTTAAAGCAAAGCAAAGTTTACTTAAAGTCAAAAATTTAATACTGCCTCGTTTTGGTCACATCTATAAATACCAAGAAAATAACGTAGTTTCGAAATTGAAATTACTTTTAAAATATTTGGAATCAACTTTTAAAAATTAGGCTCTAATAATATAGGGCGTAGTACTGTATTTGATCAAAATGTAATTAGTATTAAAGCTTTAAAATATGCTTCAGCTAGAATCATGGCCGTAGCGACTGCGCGGTAGCTACGCAGCTTTTTGTAGCTTCTACGCGACGCTACGCGACGATCACGTCGCAGATAATGCTGCATTATAGCTGCGTGTAACCTTCGGTGCGCGGCGAGGTTCGACGCCTGGCAGTGCTCGCTCGGCGTCAGAAGACGTCATCACTTGGGTCTTCGTCTAGCTCACAGAGCAGCTTACTACTGTAAATTAACAAACAGAAAATAAGCAATGGGATAAGGGAAGAGTTAATTAAAAACTACTTACCCATCTACATATCACACTTTCGGAACAAGTAAAGTTGACAACCTTACTGTACACGATACAGTACTAATATATTCCTAAAATTTAGTACTATCATATTAATATAAATATATATTAGTACTACATTACTATATATATAATTTTAAGTGAAACTACTACATTTCAATTATGGTTAACTACGGCGAAAGGATGTAAATAAAGTCTCAAAGGAGTAAAAACTGTCCTTTAAAAAAGCTTTATGTTTATTTATGTTTTTAGGATTCTGAACGCAAATCGTACAACGGAGAACTATTAAAGTCACTCTGCTGTATGTATGTCTGTCTGTTTGTCTGTTTCTTTGTCTGCCTGCCTTTCTGCCTGCCTGTCCACCCGCCTGTCTTTCTATGTCTGTCTGTCTGTATGTATATATATATATATATATGTCTGTATGTATATATGTATACATGTCTGTATGTATATATGTATACATGTCTGTCTTTCTATGTCTGTCTGTCTGTATGTATATATATGTCTGTATGTATATATGTATACATGTCTGTCTTTCCAGCTATGCGTCCGTAAGTTAAAGATGTCTAGGTCTTAGGCGGAACGAGTGACCGACCTGAAATTTGGATATTTGGTGTAAGGTGATTTGAAAATTGAAATGAATTTTCGGAAGGGCCAATACATAAAACAACATTTCTTACCCTAGCATGTGGGGTATTATTGTCTTAATGATTTCTTATATTTATGCGAACACTGTACATTGATTAAAACTTACTTTTACGGATTTTTTCGCGTTTTATTTATTTTATTTTTAATACCCGACGTTTCGGGTGCTTTCCAGCACCCATGGTCACGGGGGACTGAGGTGACTGACGTCCCGATGTCAAAGTTAACCCGGAGTACCTTCAGCTTTTTAATTATTGTCTTTGGTCCGATCTACGCAGAATGAACTAACTGTATTTTGAATTCTTGCAGTGGTATGCTTGGGTTTAGTTTTCATTTTAATATTTATAGGATCCCAAGCAGGTGGTAGTACCCAGCCTCCTTCTCTATTGAAATTAGGATGTTTTTTTTAATTTCAATAGCCTCACGTATCATCCTTGGTAGGAATCGATGTTCTTTCGCGAGGATTTGTGGTCTATCAAATCTGATTTAATGGTTGGGGCCATCTAGAATATGATGGCAAACAGCAGACTTCCCGGAACATTGATGCTTCACGTTAACTATGTGTTCTTTTACGCGAGTTCTAATTGATCTCTTTGTTTGCCCTATATATAAGAGACCTCAATCACAATCAAGCTTGTACACTCCTGCATCTTGTAGAGAAATATGACACTTGACGGATGGTAAGAACTGACTAATCTCCTTCGGCGGCTTGTAGAATGTTCTAATAGAAGCTCGCTTCAAGATGTAGCCAATCTTGTCTGTGACACCTCTGACATATGGTAGTACAGAAGGCACACGCTCGACTGTGGCCGGCTTCACTCGGTCACTGTGACGGAGGCGCGGGACCCAAAGCTTGTTGTCGTGCAGAACCTGCTTGACGTAGCACGTCCTATATTTAATAAAATTATCCTATAATTAATAAAATTAAAACTAAACCCAAGCATACCACTGCAAGACTTCAAAATACAGTTAGTTCATTCTGCGTAGATCGGACCAAAGACAATAATTTAAAAGCCGAAGGTACTCCGGGTTAACTTTGACATCGGGACGTCAATCACCTCAGTCCCCCGTGACCATGGGTGTTGGAAAGCACCCGAAATGTCGGGTATTAAAAATAAAATAAATAAAACGCGAAAAAATCCGTAAAAGTAGTTTTAATCAATATTATTGTCTTGTTTAAGTAGAGTTCAAATATTATATACCCTTACAATTTTTTACCTTCAGAAATAAGGAAATGAGGGCCTCCACGGTTACGGTTGTTACGAGGTCCATCTTAAAAACTTAACGTGTAAGTTTTTTTTTAATATTATGTAATGTAATGTAAATATTATATAATGACTATTTAAGCAAACATTACTAAAACAGCGATTAATAATGAAAATTGTAAGCTGTTCTGTGCCAAAACAAATTTTAAATTCAAGTATTTATAATTTATGTAAATCTTTCTGTATGTTTTAGATCACTATTAAAAATAACAGAAAAAGGACATCAGCTAATTAAATTAGTAGTTTCAGAAAAAAAGTATTGCCCAAAATATGTAAGACTATATCAGGTAATGCTTTAAAAATACTACAGTCAAGGTGTCCAGGCCTTCTCTCGTTTTAGAAGTAGGTTTAGAGATTCAAAGCGTGTTTGCGAACTTTACACTCTTTACACATTTTATGTATCCAAAACAGTATAAACCTTAAACGCTGCTCGTCGTTGTTGGCCAAGGAGAGAGAGAGAGAGAGAGAGAGACATACACAGAGTATATAGAGAGACGAAGAGAGATAGAGAGAGATGGAGAGAGATAGAGAAAGACAGAGAGAGATAGAGAGAGACAGAGAGAGACGAAGTGAGATAGATAGAGTAAGAGATAGAAAAAGTGTTTTTAGTGTAACAATATTTATTTTATTACTCAGAACTATGTATGTGCAATTGTTTATGTGAAACGTACTTGTATCGATATTTGCGTAATTGGGACGATTCATATCTATAATTCAACTGTAAAGCAACTGTGAAACTATATCCATAATTTTCAATTTTTAAAACGTTCATAGTTTCAAAGGACAAAATATTTGACATTAGTCTTAAATTCACCAAATATACTTAATACCATTTTTCGCACCCCAGCATTGAACTTTTTGGGCTATCGAAGATGGAAAATGCTTTTTTTTTTTGAATTGAAATTTCTATATCTACGTAGCAGAGAAACAGTACGGTATTAAAATGTCAATTGTCAAATGTCAATTTAACCTACTTATGTAAAACGTAAAATAAAAGAAGAATGATATGTCGTAAAGAAGTTTCACTTCGTCCGATTATTTCTATTATAATAATAAATTATCAAACAAGCTTCAGTCGAGCTTGCTAACCTGACATAATAACCACTACAGAAATTATCGTCTGCCGACTATCGGGAACTGCAAGCAACTCCCGAACAATTAATGAAATACTTCAAATAGGTAAAGTATACTATCCTAATTTTAAATATTAAAATATCCAGATCTGATGCCGAAGGAAAACAATGTCTGTGGTACAAATTGTGATGGTTATCTGTACAATCTAGAAATGTACTGTTTTTATGATGATAGTGATGCAAGTGATGTAATTCATCATCATCATCATCATTACAACCCTTCACAAGTCCACTGCTGAACATAGGCCTCCCCCAAGTAATGCCATAAAGCACAGTCCTGAGCCACCTGCATCCATCGACTTCCTGCATATCTTACCAAGCATATCTTACCTTTTCAGTGATGTAATTGAAGAACATTAAATACTTACTCCTCTTTGCTCGTGAAGGACTCGGCATGTACCCGTCTATTGCAAGCTCTGTCACAGCATCGACAGTGCCAATAGGCAAGCACACTTAGACTAAACACGAAGACCGCCGCAGGTAATACCAATGCCAGAACCAAACCTCGAACCGTCGACTCCCATGAATACCTTGCAACTACGAGATCAGGTCGCGTCAAGCTGTAATAACATGGGAAGATCTTTGGTGCTTTCGGTCCTGCGTAATCGTTTGCGAAAACAGAACAATTAACTCTCGGTGGATATCCACAACCTTCCGGGTTTATAAGGAAACGCAGATCTGTCTCGTCCCATTCTGTTGGAATATCTCCATCTTCTACGAATGGTTTTCGTGAAAGATTAACTCTGATCTTGTGGCATTTTGTGTGCGCCGTAGTACAACCTTCCCTGCATGATGCCCAGGTACAATTGGTCAAAGTTTCCGCGTGGACATGTTCGGAGACCGAACAAATTCCCGCTTCCGGCACGAATTCAGCAAGTATTGTCTGTATCGCAGGCTCCACAACAAACGGGATCAGAAAAAGGAACGCGAAGACTGCAAGTATGGCTGATGTGCCGAGGCAAAGTGATGTGTAGAATTTGAATCTTTCAAAAAAGTGATTTAACAGTTGCTCCCTCGTCGGCTCCAGTGGTTTGAACGCTGGACTTCCAGGTCCGGCAGATTCACCCATTGGTAAAGTAGAACGTTCAGATGCCGCAGGTGAAAGGCTTGCTCGTGATCTACTCATTGTCGACATGAGGAAGTTTAAGGCAGTTAAAGCGTTGAAAGCACTTAGTCGTCTCTTAAAGAACTAGCCGGACCCTCGCAGAGGAGGGGCACGCCTGTAAAAAGAAATAAAACCGGTTATGAATTACAAAATATAACACATAATTTTGATATTATACACGAGTGTCCATAGAACGTAATACTTTTTTTTAATTTAACTAAAGATTTAGTGTTACAAATGCAGTATCATTATTTACTATCTTTATAAAAACAAATAACATTATACAACTACAGAAAATTTGCTTTAAAAAAGCGAATGTAGATGACTTTTCGAGTATGTTGATAGTAAAATATATTAAATTATTATTTGGTACAGGCCTAATATGATTTCATTAAACTTTCAGTTATTTGTCAACACTATACAAACTCAACATAAAATATGCTTGCGATGGACCAGTATTTTCATTAAAGAATATTTAGGTCAATGGTTTCTTGATTACTAGTTCTTGAGTACTACTATATTATATAAGAATTGCTTGCGTAATTTTGTTTTATTATCTATTAGATAAAAGCACTTTAAGGTTATATCATAGAAATCAATGCCTGATATATTAGGAGGTACCTTAAGGAATATTAGATTATAGAAAAGCTCACGTGACTGATCTCAGAGGGGAGAAACAGGATCGTTTGGATGCATTTGCATTTCAGATTGACCACTTGTGCAACCCTTGAATCTCATCTTCGCATCGTCGCCAACTTCCACAGTCCTTTGGCATAATAATAAAGTTATACATGACACTACCACCAACACTGTCGGCAAAACTAGAGCTACTAGAAACTGCCGGAAGGTGGCGTCTAAATCGAACCTCGCAACCACTGTATCTGGATTGTTTTCGGTGTAAAAACAAGGAAATCTAGCTTTAGCGTTATGATCAGTTCCGTCGCGGCCGTAGTCCTTTAGAAATTCCTTACATTCATCTGCGAGAGTATTGACGCAACCTTCTAAGTTGATCATCAAACGACTATCATTAGCCAATGTAAGTTCTACTTCAGATGGAGCTATAAGACGATTTGGAGTAGCTCTAATTGTGTAAAGGTGCTGTAAATACGTAAAGTTAGTCAGATCTGCAATATCAGTACGAGGTAACAAAGCTGCATTGATGCAATCCACTGCAACTACACCAGATGAACTGTTATGAACTGCATGACATGACAACATAAGTACTTCTTCTCCTGAATCAGTCCAGACTATATTTCCACCATCTTCTTGAGCTAACTTTGCACATCTAGCTAAGAATACTCTATCACCACTAAGTACAATTACGTTCTTGTTGCGGGTAGGAATGTCAACGCATCGTCGATCACAATTATAAGGTGTTCTTATTTTTCTACAAGTACCTCGATTACATGAATATAAACCGTGAACATCTATGCACGTAATTTTACCACGTCTGCCTGAACATTTCAAAGGTGGATCGGTATCTCTAAAAGCACACTCGAAAGCATCCGTTATGTTAATGCATTTTCCTTCCGTACAATTAAAAGTTCCTGTTAAGTTGCGACATTCATCACGAATACAGTGATATTTCTTAGCATTTTCTTGATCTATACCGTAGCAGGTCTTGTTTGCAGCGCTACTACATTCAGCGAGAAGCAGCGATGAGCCATTCTTTCTCACGTTCACGTAGATTTGAATGCAGGCACCTGAGGTTTTGCTAAGACACCATTCACCACACGAGCCCCAATCACAGTTGTCTTTGTTAATAGCCCTTGTTGTTGTGCACATAATTGGGGTCGGATCGATCCCCGAAGCGATCGCGCGCGTGTATGGCATGTAAATAGCAACCGTTAAATAGACTATAGCGACGGCACTAAGTACAGCCGTCATTTGACAAATACAAATTGTTCCGCATATCTTTTGATCTTGAGGAGGGATCACAAGATCCTCGACGGGAGTCGGCTTAGGCATGGTGGAGTGTTTCGCGTGCCCCCGCCTTCTCACAACTGACGTAGGGATGGGTGTAAGACGCATGCGTCGTAGAGTAATCGATTGGGCGCAGTGCAGGCAACCCTGCTTGAGCTTTTTTTATTAATAGATGTCAATGGCCAACTGCCAAACAAAATTATGAGAAATATTTCTTTTATATGTTATAGTTTTAATTTAACTTTCTAATAATATATTTCAAATTTAACACATATTAATTAATTACATAAAATTTTAAATTGCTTTAATTTTTTTTAAATGTATTTTTAGTTATGTTTTTGTTCTAAGTTCGAAATAATCCGGCAATTTTTCTAATTTTATAAACAGTAATAATGTAAATATTAAATTTATGCTACTTATAATACAATATAGAAATCATATGATAGAATTTTCAGGCAAATATAATTTTAAGTGAACAATTCATTCATTAAGTTTAACACATTTTTTTTTTAATTTTTATATAAACAATTTTTTCATACAATCCTACTACTACTAATAATAATACTGTTTCACATCGTGTTGAATAAAATCTGAATAGCTAATACTGCATTAATAATTAATTTTAATATAATATAATTTTTTTCTAATGTCATAATTATGAAATTACACATACATTTTACAAATCTATCTTCATGTTCCGCACCATCGATTTAAATGATTTAATATTAATTAATATACACAGCAACCACTAACAAGGTTTATTTTCACTCACCTAAAAAGCCTTTGATTAAAGCTGTATTAAAAATAAATGCATAATATCAGCATCGGTCCTAGCACTAGTATACAACATTGATTGTCACCATGATTATAAGTCAATTTAAGAATAAGAATTTGATATCTAGCAATATTTTCACCCAAAATAAGGTTTCAGTCTCTGTATGTTTTGCTTGCGACAACTGTGAATGTAGCGTGTGAGGCTGCGCAATGCGGGTACTCGCGGGGATCGTAACAGGCAGAAGTTAGCTCCAAGGTTGGTGCATAGTGGATTCACATGGCATAAGCTATAATGTTCTAAATCTATGCTACTCCTGCATCACTTAGGTATATCAAGATAACGAAAATTATAATAGCTTAGTATAATTTAAATCTCCAGTACAGGAATGAGAACTGAAGATATTATTGATTTATAACCAATTTAGATAATCTCTTACTGATCAGCGTGTACATGAAACTCCGTCAAATAACGTAAATAAAAAAAATGGAATCAATTTTTTTTTTAAATAAAACAGTCTCTAGACATACTTTGTATGGACTTCTTTCCGTTCTTAAAGCACCATCCAAAGAATGTAAGCACAGAAAAAGGAAAAGATATAATAATTTATCATTTTTACGCAAATAGCACACTGTAAAACTAATTTTTATTCTTAATAACTTTCTTCAAATTTAAAAATTCTTATTAAGAATCGAGAATTAAATAACTTTTATTTAATTCTCGACCGAAGATATCTTGCACAAAATAATTACAAGGATCTGTTTTTACCTAATTATAAAGTTGTAGCAAAAATGTAAGTACATATTTTAACATAGTACTAAAAAATAGGGCTCGTTTAATGTCTAAAGCTCCTATTTTTCTATAATCTGAGGCCTAGAGATACGTCTGGGTGATTTTAAATGCAAGAGAACAGGGTAATTACAGTTTTGAAGCATTTTAGCTTAGTCCTCAATGACGACAACGCATATGTGACCTTGACTGTTTAGAGCTACGGGCTGCAGTGAACACCTTACCATAATGTACAATGTTAGTTCCTTTATCACTTCATAATGACAAAAAAATTAAAACATCACATTAAAAATAAATTTATGATAAATTTATATATTCGACTGAATTTCTTTCTGAGCCTCATGTGTAATTTTTAAAGCTTTTAACACTCAATTAAATAATTTTAGGTATAACTTACTAATTTTATTTATAAATTGATGAAATGTAAATAATCATTATTTTATTTTAATGAATTAAAATTTTTTTGCTTACTGGTTTAAAAAATAAAAAGTTTGTCGGAAAGAACTTATAATACAGGATAGCGTTAATTATTAAAAATGGTAAAGATATAATGATAAAAGATTCAACCGGCATTTTATTAATGCGCCTACAAGTTTATTTTTAATTTTGTATTTTTCTTTTGTTTTGTTTACATAATGTTTATAATATAAATAGTAGTATAAATTTCTAGTCCGAATATAAATTGACCACTTTCAAATTTTATTTTTAAAATTTATATTTCTAAAATCCATTAATTTCTAAATTCAAATAGCTTAAAATTCACTCACCTTTTAATAGTGAATCAGTCATTATGACTTCAATCCAAAACTTTCGTTATTATTAATGTTTACGTACTTTTTGAATATTAACATGTGTTCACTGTTTAAATGATTGTAAGACTGCAATGGTGTTTACATTCTTCATTTGAAGTGTGGTAGTTCACTACGCATGCGCGCGTTCATGCCAAAACTGCTTTGATGTTTACCTTGGTTGCTTCGTTTTAATCGACATTTTACTTAAAATCACACAATGATTTCTTTGAATTTAACTTTTATAAAAATAAATTACATAACATAACATAAACACTCACGCCTGTCACCCAGAGGGGCAGGCAGAGACTACAGACTTCCATTTAGCACGATCCTGACATACCTCTCTCGCCTCTTGCACATCCATATACCTACGCATACATGCTCGTCGGATAAGGGTATGTACTCTTAATTTGGTCCATTTTTAGTATATCGCCAATTTGGTCGACAAACTTCCACCTAGGACGTCCCTTTCCGACTCTTCCATTCACTTCTGCAACATATATTTGCTTTGTCAGTCTTTCCACATTCATTCTTTCTACATGACCAAACCACCGAAGCATTCCTTTCTTAATCCTGGTCACCGCGTCATCTTGCAAACCACACTCATCTTTTATCACACAGTTTCTCACCCTGTCACTCAGATTCAGCCCTAACATACTCCTTAACGACCGCATTTCTACTGCATTTATTCTAATCTCGTGCTTCTTCTGCCACACCCAACTTTCACTATCATACGTTAAAGTAGGGACTAATACAGCATTGTGAATTGCCCTACGTGCCTTTTTTGACACGTTCTGACTTTTCACAACTCTCCTTCGATTCTTATTTCACATACCGTTTTGCTTTCTTCTCTTTCAAATACCATCACTTTCGTCTTACTTGCGTTCACTTTCATTCCCCTTTCTTTTAATGAGCTGTTCATCAATGTAACCATCATTTGCAACTCGGCCGCCGACGACGCAAGTATGACTTGATCATCGGCGTACAAAAGGCATTTGATGGTTAACTCACCCATTCTTAACCCGCGTTCTTCAACTTTCAAATTTTCCAAACAACTGTCCATAAATAGGTTGAACAGCCACGGGATAGCTACACAGCCCTCTCTGACACCTTTATAGATGCCAAACCAGTCCGAGTAGACCCCGTTGATTCTAACACAAGCACTCGAGTTCCTATACAGAGACTTTAATGCCTGTATTAAACCAGCGCTCAACCTAAATGGGTTCAGCGTTTGCCATAACAAATCCCTGTCCACTCTGTCATAGGCCTTTTCCAAGTCCATGAACGCACAAAAAACTTTGTGGTTTTTCGCCAAAAACTTCTCCGCGATCATGCGCATGGAAAAAACTTGATCTGTACACCCCATTCCCTTTCTAAATCCCGCTTGCACATCCCAAATTTTTTCATCAGTTTCTTTCATAACTCTTTCAATTAGTACCTTATCATACAGTTTTCCCACAATGCTAAGAAGGTTGATACCACGGTAGTTTTTACAGTCCTGCTGTGACATTTTTCCCTTGTATAAGTATATTGGGACTATCACGGCTTTGTACCAGTCTCCCGGTACCCGCTTTAGTTCTCAACATAAACTAACCAAGGTGTACAGCAGGCCTGCCACCACGTTCTCTCCAGCCTTTAGCATTTCGAGTGAAACTCTATCATATCCGGCTGCCTTAGCTACTTTCATGCTTTTCATTGCTTTCATTATTTCATCTATACTTATCTCCATATCTCTTTCATCTTCTTTCGGAATTTCTATTTCATTTAGTTCACACGTCTCCTCACTCATAAATACGCTTTCAAAATATTCCTTCCTACTCTTTAGATTCAAAACTTCATCATTCAGAATACTGCCATTCTCGTCTCGTATCTCATTCAATCTAGGCTGTTTTGAATGTCCTCTGGTATTTCTTACGAGTTTCCAGAATATTTTAATATTTGCCTAGAAGTTATCCGATATTCTTCTATCATTCTGCCTTTTTTCTTTCAATATCATCATTCTTACCGCCAGAATTACCAGCTTTGGTTGCTAGTAAATCTAGCTATGCTCTTTTCTTTGCTTCAACTTACGTACTTAACTACATACCTTATCATCCTACCATAACGTTTTGTCTTTCTTTTCATTCGTTCTCTTACTAACACCACATATTTCGGTAGCTGCATCCACTAAACTTTTCACATTATGCCACACATTCTCCAAGTCTAACTCATTCACAAACAACTTATCCAAATTACTTATATTTTCTCTCAGTCTATATTTGTACTTGTCTTTCACATCTTCATCTTATAACCTCTCAATTCTTATACGCTGTGACGCAGTGGTAGACATAGATGTCCGATGCTGCCAACGTCTGAATAAACCCCTAATTCGGCAAAAGACCAGGTAGTGATCCGTCCCTACGTTGGACCCCCGGTAAATCCTTGTATCCACCACTGCCCTCCTCATTGTTTCATCCACAGTTATGAAATCTAACATGCTTCTATCATCACCTCTTTCCCAAGTATACATGTGAATCTTCTTATGACGAAAGAAAGCGTTCGTCACAAAAAGATTCCTTTCCACACATATGGTGAGGAGGCTTTCACCATTCTCATTAATTCTTTCATCACCA